AAAGATTTTATTTATTTATTTATTAGAGAGTGAGCGAGAGAGAAACAGCATGAGAGAGGAGAGGGTCAGAGGGAGAAGTAGGCTCCCCGCTGAGCCGGGAGCCCGATGCGGGGGCTCGATCCCAGGACCCTGGGATCATGACCTGAGCCGAAGGCAGTCGCTTAACCAACTGAGCCACCCAGGCGCCCCTGAGGCTCAGTTCCTTCATCTTCAAAAGGGTATGCTAACACCTGGGGTGTTGTGTGGATTAAGTGGATCTTATCCCACCCCAGTCATGGTTCAGCCCCATCTCTACCAGTCACAAGAGGGGCCTGGACCCCGCCAGGGGTTACAGGAGGGCTCTTCCCAAAGAGGCAGTATAAGCAAATACCCCATACAAAGTCATGTACTTAGCAAGGGACCAGCAATACAGTTGAAAGAGAAATGGCCAGAGCAACCTGAGAAAAATCTCTACTCTGAGTTTCTGAACAAGACTCACCTGCTCTGAACTGAATTTCCACATCTCACTTCCAGAAGGGGTACAGACTTGTTCATGGGTTTAAAAGTATTTGTACCCTTTCAACCAGGAATTTCATATTTTATCCATTTTATCCTCCTGATATAAGATTACACAGATATTCTTAAATGCCTGCCACTATTATTTATAATAGTGAAAAGTTATATTTTATCTAAATATCCAATGAAGGATTAGTTAAAAAGAATTGGTGCATCATGTGACAAAGTACTATATGGTTATTAAAAATAACGTTCTTAAAGAATATTTTAGGATGTGGTGACATGATCTCAATGTAGTAAGTAAAAAATTCAGGATTAATTAGTATGTGTTATGATCCCAATTTTTAAAAAATTGTGCTTATATAAACTTAAGTATACATGCTACTTAGGGATACATGTGTGTAGCAAGTTTATAGACAGGCAAGGCAACAATAAACATTAAACTCAGCAGAGCAAGGGGTTCTGCTTTGCTGTTAAGAGCACATTTCCTCAGTTGCATTGGTAGCTACATTTTATATTAACCTCAGTGCCATTTTGTATGTCTGCAATATTCATGATGAGAAATTTTCAAGTGTGTATATAATGCCAAGAAGGTAATACATCAAAATGTAGCTACTGTTTTGAGGTGGGATTATTAATGACCTCTCTTATTCACAGTGTCCAAATTTTCTACAAAGAACATGTATTCCTTTTCATCTTTTACACTGTTGTTATCATTGGAAACTATTTTTATACCCACCCCAGAACTCATTTGTTTTTTAAGAGAGGATCCTTGGTGCTAAGCAGTGCCCTCCATCAGGAGCAAACCTGACTTTTCCACCACCCTGTTTCCTGGGACACCATGAACCCTGGCTCTTCACTCAGGCATCTCTCCCCCGTTAGAAGTTAAACCAGAAAAGTGCAGTGGGGGAAGCAATGTCCCTGAAACCATCCCACTCACATCCTCTGACGTGAGAAGAGATTTGTAGGCGGCTGCTAGGAGCATTCTCCACTCTGCAATTTGTTCTCAAAAGTATAGGTTGCCTTTTTTTTTTTTTTCTGGAATATTTTGTGTTCTATTCTGCCAGGAAGCTGGGGGCTCAGCCAGTGGCTTGGGTAAAGTGGTGGGAAAAATCAGAGAACAATTATAGCATCAACTAGTATGGACATTCCATCACCACTTATTTTCACCAAGTGCTGGGGGTGGAGGGTGGGAGAATAATTCTTTGGAGGTACATCACCATGCCTTAAGACCCTTCCAATTCCCTTTTTAAGAAGGAACTCTTAACATGGGTCTTGGCTGAGCTCATGGGGCCCATGAAATCACACATCAATCTTGTAAAATTTTCTGGAGCCCAGATTCCCAAAAGAGTCCATGACCCCCTAAACAATGGAAGATCCCTGTCTGTAAGAATAAGCTCTTTTCTTAGCTTACGCACTTCTATTTGGTCTCTAAGCCCAAGTTCAGTAGGAGGTTAGAAGGAAAACTCCCTTCCAGGCACCTAACAGAATCGTCATTTGAGGCTTTAAAGTAAAGCAAGATGTCAGTAGGAATGTTTGGTGTTATCACTCACACACCCTGAGGGGCTCTATACATACTTTTTAATCAAAGGGGGAAGACTTCATCTGTGTTAACATCTCCCAACTCTATGTGACAGATATATTTCTTTAACAGGGCTGTATGTGTTAAATTCTACTACACATTAGGAGGGTTCACTGTTTTTTTGTTTTTAAAAACTAATCAAGCAATACGTACATACTAAGAGCTCATTGTGCATGCAGCAATGGGCTGGACCACAATGGAAACTTGACCATGATCCCCTAGGGACCCCTTCCCTTCATCTAGTAACTTCTTGTTGAAAGCACACATCTGATGAATATCTTTCCATTTATTAAATGGAATCAAAATTGAGAGTTACTAATATTACTTTCCCAAGCCCTCACATCCTCCCGTATGAGTCATTAGTCAGAACCCACCTTCTTTTCAGATACTTTCCACGACACATAGAAACAGGCTCAAGCAACTCTTCAGTAATGCTGCTGGTTAGTTAAGGGACTGTGACTACTGGATATCAACCATTTTAAAGCATCTTCAAGTAGCCTACAAAGGCCATTTATTTATTAGAACAATTCATTTATTGGACTCAACTACTTATTTAGACACTGTTGCCTTCATGGTAAAACATCTCTCATGAGTGGCTCCACCCACCACTTCATTCAATTCAATGTACCTCCACTGAGTGCTGGTTAGGTGTGAGGGACTAAAAATCATTTACACTTCTTCTGAGGCCCTGGCTGGATCTGTCACACATCCTGTCATTTCCAGATGACTGGGATTGTGAGTGAACCTGGAACACACCAGTTTTCATGTCTTCCAACAGCTTCTAGGAGTCTAGGATCTTTCTAACTTTTACAATTATTATAATACCATGTGACAATATTTGGAGGAAACTCTGCTGAGGTTCTAGAATCTGTCTACCAAGATTCAGGAAAAATGCCAGGCAAATTAGAAAGGAGTCTGGCCATAGCTGAATCCCTAAACATAAAGGTAGATTTCTTTTCTATACAAGTCTCTTTATTATGACAAAACATGATATGAGAGGGTTAAAAAAGAGAGAGAAATATCCTTTGCAGCTGCACCAAGAGAAAAGAAGTCAGATTGTTGATTATATGAGACTTAAGTGATCTTAAGAGAAGGCAAGGTTATCGATGTCAATCAGCATAAAAACCAATCACAATTCATAATTGCAAATAATCCTTACATATAAGAGAGGTTCGTGGTTTTTGATTAAAAAAAAAGTCTAGAGACATGTTTTCCTAAAAAATAAATATAATAAAATGTAGTTGAAGAAATATGTTTGATGAGATGTGATCTTAGATTAAAGTCTTGCCTAAATCACTACATCTCCCTAGGCTTCTACTCTTCATTTTCAAAGTGTGAGGGCAACTATATGTTGGATAAGAGCTCTTTCATTTTGGAAAGTCAATGATCCTAATAATTACCACAAAATTAAAAACATTGAAACATACAAAAAAACTTGTTGCTGCTAAGGGACGTTTCCTAGACTTCACCTGTCAATAATAAAACATTCAGTGAGTAAAGTAAAACCCAGAAGAACATCATTTTTTGTCCTGTTACCATGGTATCCAAGTAAACTGGTCCAATGCCATCAATCTGATGGTCTAAAGACTGGAACAAATACCATATGGTGAGAAAAAGATGCCCAAGTACATTAATTAGATGCCAGCTCAGGATCACTCCATCATGGCAATTTGCATCACACAAAATTCTGCAATAATTAAAAATAACTAAAAGCATTGTTTAGACTGATAAATAAATGTTGTCAGATGAGAACCCCATGATCCATGTTCAACAAAGTTTCAAATTTTCACAATGGCTTTAGAGGCCTTGATCTCAAACCTCTTTTTTTAACAAATGAGGAAACTGAGGCTCAGAGAGGAGAAGCAACTTGCCAAGGTTGCACTGTTAGTTACAAGCAGAGCCAGGACCATGACTCAGCTCTTCACTCTTAGCATAGAAGCTTTCTCATCTCACAACAATGGCATCAGTGGTTTCTGTGGAGAAAGACCAGAGCCTAAAGTTGGATGGATCCACCACACACAATGAGCTCACTCCAAGGAAGTGCACAAGATGAATGGATGTGGGGAGCCCAAGAGGACCTGAATATCCATCCCCCAGCACTTGAGTAATGAGTGCATCAGAGGCCCAGGTTGGCTTCCCAGTTGTGTCGCTGGGGAAACAAAGAGGCCATACAAAGAAAGCTGCTGAAATTAAGCACCCAGGACATAGCCCCCCAAATTCAAGTAAGCTCTTAACCTCTATCAGCATCAGCACTCGACTACCATGTCATTAAACATCTTTTGTAAACTTCCGCTTTTCAAGAAAAATACAGCAAGGCTCACATTTGGTGGGTGTCTAGTATGTACCAGGCAATTGTGCTTGGTATCTCACTTTTATTGTTTTATTTGATCCTCACAACAATCTTGTTAGGTGAAGTCTTTTCATCTCTATTTTCCAGATGAGAAAACAGATATAAGGAAAGGTGTCACATTAATGGTAAATGTAGAATCTTGATTCAAATGAAGATCTGTTAAACCCCAAGTCACTCACTCCGTCATGCAGCTGGAGACTTCTCCCAGCACTGGCTGCCTGAGTTGGGCCAACTTATTAACTTTCATGAAAGGGGGACAAACATCTGACCATCTTCTGGAACCAGCCTCTAAAACGGCACCGTGGCATTCATCTAGATTCTACTCAGATGCACTGATTTCATAATTCATTTTATGAGAGAAAAAAACATGAGCAATAAACAACTTGGCTTAGAAGCTTAAGTTGGCCACTCAGCTTTCTCCAGTCAACTGAAATGTTTAAAAGAGTTCTCCCCAGGTCACAACTTCCATTGTCAGGAGCTGGAAGCCCCCTTAAAGCACATGGCATGTTAACAAATAGATTTAGAGATTAGAGGTGCTCTCATGGGAGAGACAATAGGAAGCACTGTACTTACACTTATGTCGAGACTACAAAGGCTAACAGCATCCTCATCTTGGGTGCTCTGCTTGCGTTTTCGCTGCAAAACAAATGATAAACAAAGTTCAGTGTAGACAGGGATTATGGCTTTGATTAAGGAAAGGGAAAAAAAAGCAATCAATTGAACGGCACATGTAATCCTTGTCACTTCTATCATGTTTCCCCAAAACTTTAACCAACCTATGTAAACGAACAATTCTAAGAAAGCCTAAGAAATCACAGGAAGCTTTATAAACTCTAAGGTAATTGGTAAGGTATTGTTCTTATTCCTGCTGCTACAATTTGTTTCTTTTTGTATTTCCTTTTTTCCTAAATATCTCTATATACCCAGGCTCAGAAATTTAGATACAAAGTTCAGATTCTAACTTGGGAGAAGAAACTAGCCTAGAAAGAAAATCAAATTCACTTAAAGATCTTTCATTTTTAGAGCTCTTTGTACTTGGGTAATTTAAATTTGTCCTAAACTTCATCTAGGGTCCTAATATAATCACAGAACCAGAAAGCTGGAACAAACCTTAGACATCATCTCCAACCTTCCTATTATATAGCCATAAACGCCAAGAAAAATCATTACTTGAACGGAAGAAAATTGAATTTGAAATGACCTTATGACCAAGGAAGTCTGCCAGGTTAGATGTGGAAAATATATTTTCTTCCTTATAAAATGAAAAGAAACTCCATCTACAAACCATAATAAAGCTCATCAGAGATACGTTCACCTCTCTTCTATATCCCAGCTCAACCAACCAGGGAAGTATTGCTTGAGTCCCTAATTTGTGACTTGCTAAGTCTCCTGATCCTACTTGGCAGAAACCTACTAAAGGACCAGAATCACTGGCATGCAGTTCCCATGGAGTCCAGAGACATCTGGAGTCTTCAATCCCTAAAGAAGCTCACCTCTTCCTCCTCTATCATATTCTGAGCAGGAGAGACAGACAGACAATGGAAAGTGACCAGAGCCATCCTTGTCTATCTCACTATAATTGTTCTATTATTTTGCTTCAGTTCAAGGAAGATTTGTTGAGCGTCTACCACGAGCCTGGACCTTCATTTGCTCCTGGGACTGCAAAGACCAGCAGCACCCATAGTTAAAGAACTCACATTCTTGAAGAGGGACTGACTCTAAAGGAATGAGCTATAATGCAGTAAAATCCAAACATCCTAGGAAAGTCACATCACTTTTCTCAGTTACCCCTTCTCAATTCTTAAGGTGGGGGTGATGACATTAGCTTCTATTCTCAAAGAGAGAGGAAAAAAATAAGGTGATGCGTTTTAGAACTCAGCAGAGTGCCTGGTACACAATGGGTGCTCAAAACATGGGTCTGAAGCTCTGGAAGCACAGGGAGGAGTAATCAGTTTGGCTTCAGCGGGGGTTGGGGAGGTATTCTCAGAGGAGACATTTGAAGAGGCCAGAAGGTAAATAAGTTTGCCAAACATATTGGGAGGGGACTAGGGCCTCTTGCTTCAGAGCCAGCTACCTAGATCTTTAGAACCCCACAGGTGCACCTGGTTCTATCCAGAGTAGTGGAGTTCTAGATCCTATATATTATTCCACTTGAGCAGTGGAATGATTTAGAGATGAATGCCAGGAATCACGACATTGAATCAGCCATCTGGGATGGTGCTCAAGAATCTGCGTTAATGAACTCTATTCCAGGGGTTTTGGGGAAAGCCTTGAGAAGATGCTGGTAGCCACTTGCCACTTTTGAGGATGTTTCATGTTTGCATAGGAATCTGATACTCACTGATTCATCCTCTAGTTAAAAGTAGCTCTGTGGGGTCAGTGAAGCCAATTCACTGGTTAATATTTGTAAGGTGACTTTTTGAGGCAAGTAGGTCAAGGGATAATTTCCATTCTAGGGTAAATAAACTGAAGCCAGGGGAGATAAACAATTTGTCCAAAGTTACATGGCTACAGAATCCAGGATTCTAATTCCTGGGGCAGAACCCTTCACACACATCACATAAAGCATACTTGGCAAATAGGTTACAACTCATTTGCTCTCCGGAATGTCTGGTAGTATCTGCTGGGAAGGCTGCAATGTGAAGGACTACGTAGCACAGCAAATGGGAGAATGCTTCAATCAGTCAGTAACATGTGTGGGGTGTACGAGAGGGGAAGAGCTGCTGCCAGGACAGCCCCTGCCCTTCCTGAGTCTGGCCACTCTTGCCTTGAGAGGCTAGTGTTATACCTGGGATCTTGGGAACTGCCATGAGGGGCTGAGGCTCTGGGATGTTATCTCTAATGTGGAAATAATGTCTACAGGGTCAGGCTGTCATGAGGATCATAGATAATATGAATATGGCAGCTGGAACGAGGCCTGATATACAGTAGGTGCACAATAAATGGCAGTTCCTGTCATGTGTTACCCAAACTGTAAGCCACACAGATATATGCTGCTACCCGGTATTGTCCGATTAGAGAACTTCGGGGTGCTACAATTCCATTCCTACAGCTCTGCAATTTTGTCAAGGCTACACATTAATGGTAACCTGTTACCCCAAGAAGCCCACCCTGGGGAAGGAGAGGGGATAATAAGAGTTTTTTTCCCCATAGGCATGCAGCCCTCTCCAGACCAACTCAACACATTACCCAGCACCTAGTCTCCAGAGCCCTCCTGGGCCCAGACACTTCCACATGCCTCAAGTGTCAAATCCAGAAGACAAATGTCCTCTAGCTGCCTTTTTAATTAAGCCATGGCCAGTTAATCTGGGATAGAATGATCTCCTTAAGAAACCCACACATTTTACAAAATGAAAGCTGAATGGATTATCAACGTGGATTTTCTTTTCAATTTCTGTTACAGGGGTTGGTCAAGGACCACTGCAGCAATGAAGGAGCCTGATATTTAAATTCTGAGCCTGAAGCAAAAATTTCACAAAGTATCGCTTGGTCATTTGTTCACTTGCTTTATGGCCACTGAGCACTTTTGATGTGCAAAGCCCTGCTGTGGGTCTGGAGAGACAGCGGTGAATGAGCCAGTTGTGCTCCTTGCCCACTAATTGGGAGTAACAAGAAAACGAAATAATTACTGATTATGATCTCTGCTGTGAATGGGTCAGATGCTGAGACGGAGACTAGCAAAGGAGACCTAGTTTAGAATGATAATTTAATTTAATATTTTGTTTTCTGGTTTTTGGTTGACCTTCTCATCAGACATCAGCCCATGAAGGCAGGACTTGTCGGTCCAGGTCACATTTCAGAAGCTGGTACCGTATCTGGTGTATGGCTGACACCCCTTACAACAGTATTTGATTGTTTTGTTGATGCCCTTGGTCTTGCTCCCTTTGAGAAGTTTGTCTTCACCAATTACCCAATTCCAAGAGGGGCACAGGTAGAGGGAGTGGAGGGGACCAAATGGGCACCCCTTCAACCAGACTGGCCAGCCCAGTCAACTCAGGTGATGAAGGGTGTGCAGGTCCCATGCATGTGCTGCATATCCCATGCGGGAGCTTCTAAATTCCACCTAGGAATTTCTAAATTATTGGAGAGCTGAGCTCATAACAATGATCTAAAGAACAGTCCATGGAAGAAATCACCAGTGGGAAATTTAAATCCTGGAGACATAGACTAATGAGCATCTCAGAAAGCAGAGGGCGTGGCAGGACACTGCACTCATTTTGAACTTCACCAAAATGATTGATATTGACAATAATCAGCTTTAGCCTGTTAAACACTCACTACATGCCGATCACAGAACTAAATCTTCATATGCGTGATCTGATTTGATCCTCACTACCACCTCAGGAGGTGGGCAGGAATAAATATTATCTCCATTTTGCAGAGGAGGAGATGGAGGCTCAGAGAAGGGCAAGGATTTGCCCAAAGTTCTATAATTAGCAAGGGGCAGAGCCTAGATTCATTGGGCTCCAAGCTATGTGTTTCCCCACTGCACTGTTCTGTCCCAGACTCTGGAAGGGCACATCATACAGAGATGGTCTAAGAAAGTGTTGAGCACAAGGAGTTTGGGAGGAAACACCTTTATAACCTATTCTACTAAAGAATTGGCCTTGGGGCACTGGGTGACTCAGTCGCTTAGGTGTCCACCTCTTGATTTTGGCTCAGGTCATGATCTCAGGGTTGTGAGATTGAGCCCCACATCTGGCTCCGTGCTGGGTGTGGAGCCTGCTTAAGATTCTCTCTCTTTCTCCCTCTGCCCCTCCCCACTCCCTCTCTAAAAAAGAAAAAAACAAAAACAAAACAAGAATTGGCCTTGAAGATAGTACACCTAGGTAACATTTTGAGGTCCTTTCTAGTTTTAAAACTATCACTGCCTGCTATCAGGTAGGCTATGGATGAGCCAAGTCACCATTTTACTTCCCCTGTGCATCGGAAACCATGGTCAGGTTACGGGGGGAGGGGAGGTTCCTAGGCAGGAAGGACACTGTGTGAACTGTCTATTTACACACTTGGCCTCACATGTTTTCATCAGCCAATTGGAGGAGCCATGGAACCACCCTGTTATTCTTGTTAAATTTACTGAAGCGAGTGCACAGTCCACTTCCCTTTCAACCATGAAAACAAAGCACCTTGGGTGCTGCAGTCTACACTGATTTGAGCACATGACTTTAAACCCCAGTGCCCTGTGCAGTGGGTCAATGAATAATTTTTGAATGAGTGACTAAAGGAAAGAATGAATAAAGGAGACCAGTGTTTTTGAGGTGACACCCTTCCCTTCCGCTAACCACCTGGTTGCCAAAATTAAATCAAAACCTCAAAAGCAAAGATCACTGAAAGCTGACATTCTTCAACCTCAGATTTCCTTGGGAGACTCAAAACCTGCACATTTAAGCTACAACTCTCGTTTTTCAAATAGGAAAGTTTTTTTTTTTTCCTTACCAGTGAGGGCATTTATTTTCCTTAAAATATGTAGACATGTTAAAAGAAATCATGGCTGTTCAAACATGGGTCCCAGTGGGACACTGGTGACTTCCACTCCTCCTATGAGAAGGAATGTCAGATCTCTTCAAGGGTGAGACACACCCATGAGCAGGGCATCTATATCCAGGCACTGCCCTCAGCAATGGCATGCGGACTTA